CAAGCCATGCCCACCAACTAAGCCACGCCCACAAAACCGGTTGTTAAAATTTTTGAATCCCACCCCTGCCTGCACCCATAATGAAAAGTATGAATGACCCCTGCACATGTGCACTGTCTCCCGCATGCGCCCCCCCCCCCGTTGCACAGCAGATACCTGAAAATCAGCTGGCTGGCGGGAGGTGCATGTGCAGTGGAACTGAGCTGGGACAACAGCTCGCGTGCTCGCAGAGATGGCTCTGCGTGCCACTTCTGGCATGCGTGCCATAGGTTTGCCATCACGGCCCTGTACCTTTCCAGACAAGTGGCTGTCCAGTCTCATCTTAGAAATATAATTAATGTGGTGCACTGGAAAACTGTTCCTTGTATGTTTGAGCCTCCAGTCCCCTCATCATCCTGGTTGCTTCTCTGCACTCTTTCTAGAGTCTCAACATCTTTTTTATAGTGTGCTTATCATGCCCCTGTTGGAGTCTGACTCCGAGGGAGAGATGGAACAGCTGACAGGGAGTGGGACTGTGGCTCCGGTGGTTGTGGAGGAAACTGGGGAAGAGCACAGGCCGAATGAGCATTCAGAGGAAGACTCAGGCCCATCCCCTCTTCATCCTAGGACACGCAGGGAGGAGTGGATGAGGGAGAAACATGAGTGGTGTGGTCTACGGGGGAGGAAGGGGCCCTGATCCCCTTCATGGAATGCAGCTGGGAGGATTGTTTAAAAGGATAAACCGCGCATGGCAAAGTTGCTGGAAGCAAAGCGTGCGCTGGGTTTTGGCTTCCTCCTAACTGTGGTTGCTGCATTATCTGATAGAAATCTGCAATATATCATCCTTGCCTGCCGTCTTAATTATTTCAGCATGGTTTGTGTTGGGTTTTTAAAATTTCTAATTAACTTTACTTTGGGTTCGGACTGCATTTCTGCCCTCCGTAGACTGTTTTTGGAAGAGTTTGTTATCCAGCCAAGGATAATTGGACATTGGGGCCAAGTTGGAGGCATTAAAGGGAATTTATTCTACTTTGGTGACTTTGTTATTTTGGTGTCACGCCCAGGGTCATCACAGCACGTGTTTAGGGGACATGTCAGATACCCCAATAATCTCATGCAAATCTCATGGTCCAGTTGAGCGTTATCAATCAAAGACAAGAGAGACCAAGCAGCTTACGTCTGAGCCGTGTCGGCCAAGCACTTCCCATTCTCCACTGGTGATGGGCAGCTCTTCTTTGACATGACATAAGAAGTCACCTACAAGGAGATCAAAGATACGGGAGCCCATCAATGCTCTTCCCCAGCTCAACTACGCAACATCATTTCTGAACATAGAAGAGGCGCGCAAGAAATTGGGACTGGCTTTGGGGATTCTCAGTCATCCAGGTCGTGGTTGTCCCGAAAATGCTTTTTCAAGAGGCAGCTGGACTTTCTTTGTTTTTCTTTGAAGACGTTTTGCTTCTCATCCAAGAAGCTTCTCCAGCTCTGACTGAATGGTGGGGAACGGAAGGATTTATACTCCTTGCAGTCACCTGGTTGTTAGCACTCTTTCGAAACTTTGAAAGAGGAGACCAAGAGGCCACCTACATTAAGGCTGAACAGCCCTTCTCAACCAGGGGTGGGATTCAAATTCAAATAACAACCAGTTCTGTGGGCGTGGCTTAGTTGGTGCTCATGGCTTGGTGGTCATGTGACTGGCTGGGCGTGGCCAACTCAACATCACTCACATCGAGGCACGCATCTCCTCGCCTGGCCTCTCATGACTGTGGGGATGCTGCAACAGTCAGAAGTGTGAAAAATGGCCGTAAGTCACTTTTTTCAGTGCCATTGTAACTTTGAATGGTCCCTCCACACAAGCAAAGGACCAGCAAAGGAGGGGAAAAAACTCCAGAGACGTTCCTGAGACAGGAAGTCTAGTCCTGCCAAGAATGTAATAAGGGTTAATGGAGAGGCAGTTTCTGTAAGCAATACCAGAATGTTTCCTTCCTGCCTTCCTTACAGGATTAGGCCAGTCATTTCTTCTAACAACTGATTCTCCGAACTGCTTAGAAGGTTAACAACAGGTTCTAGCGAATAGGTGTGGACCTGTAGAATCCCACCCCTGCTCTCCACAGAGGGAGAGGGATACGACATCTTCTATCTTCAGTCTACAACACAGTCCTTTCAGCAGTTCCAAGAAGCTCCACATCCATTTGCACTACTTAGGTGACCCTGAGGATACAGAAAACCCTCCAAGTGGACGCGACGACTGTCTAAAACAATGCAAATGACCAGCGGTCTGCAAGGAGTATAAATCAGTGGTGGTATTCTACCGGTTCGGCTTGATTCTATCGAACCGGTTGCAGCAAGGAGCAGCGGAGACCAAACCAGTTCTCTCCGCCACTTTGCTGTTGGGCCCACCTGCCTGCCTGCGCTCCCAGATTCACTTTCATCCGCTGAATTTGAAGCGCAGCTGCTTTGCATGGCACGGAAGAGTGTTGCGCAGCAGCTGCTGAAGCGATCGGGATCCTGGAGGCTTTTCGGTGAGTTAGAATGCCTCTGTGCCTGCTCAAAGTGCGCATTTGGCGCACGTGTGCATGCAAAGTGTGTGCATGCATGCAAAGCGCGCCCACCAAGCCAAACCCACCAAACCGGTGGTAAAAATATTTGAATCCCACCACTGGGTCTAAATCCTTCCATTCCCCACCATCCAGTCAGAGCAGAAGAAGCTTCTTGGATGAGAAGCGAAACATCTTCAAAGCAAAAAAAAGCAGAAAGTCCAGTTGCCTCTTGAAAAAAGCACCTTTGGGTAAAACCCATGCAAGCTACTTCTTATGCCGATAAAAGATTTGGCAGAGCTTTTCAGAAAAGAGACAGGCCTTCCACCTTCCACTTATACAGCCTTGCTGCCTTACAGGTAGTTCTCAATTAGCAACCGCGATTTGAGCTCGGAATTCTGGTTGTAAAGTTAGTGCAGCCGTTAAGCGGCTCCCCATGTGACCTGACTCAGCTTGTTTCAGTGCCGCTGTAACTTCGAACCCTAACCCTTCGAACGACCAGTAGCAAGTGGTTGTACGATGAGGACTACCTATACCGAATTTGAGACCTTCCGCATGCACGCCTAACGTCTTCCATTGATTAAGACACAGAAGGAAAACGGAGTTACCTGGAGCTGGGAGTCCCCCCGAAGATCGCCTGTAGTTGCTCTCTTTCAAAATGGTGGAGATTCTGTACAGGTGTCGGAATCCTGTTTTGCACTCGGAGGCGAAGATGAATTCTACCACATCCTCCTGAGTCTGGGGGAAAACATGGAAGATGTCATGGATCTGCGGAAATAAGGAAGAGCGGCAAGTCAAAACAAAGACTAGGAAAATTAGGAGGGGTCAGTTCAAACGGGTAACGGAAATCTCCTTATTTACTAGTCATCCTCCGCTTACTACTGATGCATTAATGGCTGTTCAAACCGATGGCAGACCTCCCCAAGGCTACTTCTAACCTAAGTTTGAAGTTCCGATGATCCCCAAATGTGGTCATGGGATCCCATGTTAGGTGCTCAGCAATCGATTTACATTTATGACCATTTCCAAAGAGATATGACCAAGATTTATGATAGTTTTTTTTTTCTCATGGAAAGCAGTTTTTAACTTCCAGTTTCTGGCAAAAAAAAAACACTTAGGGTGGACAATGTATTCACTGAATGACTTCACATTTACTTAATCTCACACATACACACGGAGCAAAAAGTTATACAATTGGGTGCACGATTTTTTTTGGTTTTTTTTTATGGACAGCAGTGTTTACTTGAGATTTCTGGCAAAAAACACCCAGGTTGGACAACGTATTCACTTAATAACTTCAACATTTACTTAATGACACCCACTCCTGCAAAAAATTATAGAGTTGGGTGTTATTATGTGTGGATTTGCTTAATATTAGCACAACTTATAACCATAATTCCAGGATCGTAAGTCAAGCATTATATTTGTTCAACAGCTAACTACAAATAAAACAAAGTGCACATCCAAACAACATTCAACCCAACTGGCTTTTGTGCCTAAGGCAAAACAAGAACTCACTGTCTCCTGATGATTGACCCAAAGTTATCCTGCTGGCTTTCAACCCCAAAGTGGGACTAGAACTCACAATCTCCTAGTTTTTAGCCTGGTAAGTTCATCACTAAACCAAAGTAGCACTCTCTACACGACTTGACTAACAATGTAGACTTTCAAAAGTCCTTTCTATTTCTGTCAATGCCACATTCATGAGCCTTGGTGGTGCAGTGGTTAGAGTGCAATACTACAGGCTACGTCTGCTGATTGCCGGCTGCCTGCAGTTTGGCAGTTCGAATCCCACCAGGCTCAAGCTTGACTCAACCTTCCATCCTTCCGAGGTTGGTAAAATAAGGACCCAGATTGTGGCGGGAAAGAGGCTGACTCTGTAAACTGCTTAGAGAGGGCTGTAAAACATTGTGAAGCAGTATATAAGTCTAAGGACTACTGCTATCTTCCTTCCTTCCTTCCTTCCTTCCTTCCTTCCTTCCCTCCCTCCCTCCCTCCCTCCCTCCCCCTCTCCTTCCATAACTCTGCCCACTGCCACCAATTCGATCCTGACCGGCTCAAGGTTGATTCAGTCTTCCATCCTTCTGAGGTGAGTAAAATTAGGACCCAGATTGTTTGGGGCAACAGGCATTGTGAAGCAGTATATAAGTCTAAGGTCTATTGCTATCTATCTATCTATCTATCTATCTATCTATCTATCTATCTATCTATCTATCTATCTATTCCTCTTTCTCTGTCTCCCTCTCTCTCTCTCTCCCCCTGGTGGTTCAGTGGTTAGAATGCAGTATTGCAGGCTGACTGCTGACTGCCAGGAGTTCAATCCCAACCATCTCGAGGTTAACTCAGCCTTCCATCCTTCCAAGGTGGGTAAAATGAGGAGCCAGATTGTTGGGGCAATACACTGACTCTGTAAACCGCTTAAAGAGGGCAGTAAAGCACCGTGAAGCGGTATATAAGTCTAAGGGCTATTGCTATACAACTCCCGGGCTCTGCCTAAGCTAACCAACTCTTCCTGTTGACTGAAAAAGCTTTCTTATCAAACTCCATTAGCTGGTGTTTCTCCCCCCTCTCTCTCTGGACTCTCTCTGGACCCATATTCCATGACATCCCAGCAATTCCATTCAAAGCTAGAGAACTTCAGCTACCCTGAAGGAATACATCCTTACGTTTATCCAGATGTCTGTGGTTTCTTCGTAAACGACCAAGGGGGTGATGGAGTCAGGCACAGCGTCGATTAGTTTCTGTCTCTCCATGGCGTCGTCTTCCACGGGGATAAATAAGGCTGGAGGAAGGAAAGCGATCTGCAGGCGGGTTTGGGAGCGATCAAGCAGGATGGCCCAGGCGCTAAGGAGAAAGGAATCAGAAACCAGATACAATATTCCTTGACCTTTTAACTCCTGGAGTTGAACTGATGGATAAGGAAATTCCTGAAATTATGGGGCTTCAATGAGTGGGAACATTCAAGAAAAGATTGGACAGCCAAGGGTGGTCTGATATTCTCGCACTGGGTGTAGGGACGGACTAGACAGGTGTGTCAAACTCGATTTGGAAGGGACTTTGTAGGTCATCTAGTCCAACCCCACCCACCCAAGCAGGAGACCCTGGCAGGCCAGTCTCTTCTTGAAAGCTTCCAGAGTGGACGTAGCCATCTCGACGTCACTCATGTTCGGGGTGCCGGTGGTGGTCCGAGTGCCCGGCCAACGAAAACAGCCTCCCAATCTCCGTTTTCAGTCGCAACGTCCTCCCGCAGTCCTCTGTAGCAAAAACGGAGCTCTGTTTTCGCTGGAAGAGGGCTTCATTGTGGCTGAAAACGGAGATTCGGAGAGCTGCACACAGCCCTCGCAAGCTCCATTTTTGCTGGCAGAGGCACCACGGGCTAGTCCTTCGCTGTTTCCAGGATGGCCCTGAGGGCCCGATCTAAGCACCCCATGGGCTGGATCTGGCCCCCAGACATTGAGTTCGACACCCCTGAATTAGAAAATCTGTCGGCTCCTTTCCAACCCGAGGATGCTATGAACCACCAGGGCTCAGAACAGCCCAGTCCAAAGCTGGGCAAATGGAGGAAATATAAAATACCTACTATTTTCCCTCTCGTGTCCATCCTGCTCTGGCGATATATTCTACGCCATCGAATAAGATTTCAAAGGGTTGGACCAGTTCTTTGTCAACAGCACCCAAAATCTTCAGGAAAGAGGGGGAGAACACCAATTAGAAAAACTATTAATACCTTTCTCCAAAATATATTAAGAGGCACGGATGAAAAACAAATGAAAAACAAATTCTGGACAAAGAATAGACTTGGTCATAGTCTCTTTCCAGGAACCTTCACATGTTTCGTACGTGTAAGGCTCTAAACTGGCTCCTATTATGTTATTTGGAATCTTTAGGGCAGGAATGGTCTGTAACAAAGCCCATAATCCTGCTTGCCTAGTTTCCTCAGTCACCCATAGCGGCACAATCTGCTATTTTCAAACAGGAAATGTAGAAAATCTTGAGTATTTTAACCCTAAATTTGGTATGATATTAAGAACCACTTAGAAGGGAGGGAGAAAAAAGGGGAAAGGAAAGGAAGGAGAAAGAAGGGAAGGAGAAAGAAGAGAAGGGAAGTTCTTGTCTAATCTGCAGATGCAATGACCTTCTATATAACACACGTGTAACTTGGCAATTTGGAAGATTTTTGGACTTCAACTCCCAGAATTCCACAGCCAGAACAATATATGGACTGGCTGGGGAATTGAGCCAAAGTCCAAATATCTTCAAGTTGCCAAGTCTGAAAAACACTTTTATAACTTTTTCACATGACTGCCTCACCCACTCTAACCAATTTTTAAATTTCCAAAAATTTCCTGATCCTTTTTGCGAACACGCCTTTTCTTTCTCATCCATTGACCCGACCAAGTAGCTAAGCCTGTTTTTCAAATTAACCCACAACTTGACACATCCCATAACATCACATTACTAAGCCCTAGTTTGAAATCACCACTAATTACCCTATAAACCAGCATGGCTTGTTCATGTTAAGTCATCAGCCCCAACTCTTGAACTTGTGCGATGTGCAAAGGCCCAAATCAACCCTGTTGTGGCTTTCTGCAATGTGAACCGAACTATGGTTTATAGTGATTCAGGACACTACAATTGATTCAGTGCGTCACAGTTCAAACAATAGAAGTAATCACATTTATAGACATTTATTCGAGACATAAAAAACAACAACAACAGAGCAGGCTTACTCTGCCATCAGAACCAAGGGTTATTTCAGACAACTTGAAAGTGACTTTGGGATTTGCAGTGCCTATAAAGAGGGGAAAAAAAACACATTAAGGGTTACGGAGGAATTAAAGGGTTCTTATTATGTTTGTTCTCCAAGGTTGGTTGGTATCCAGATCTTGATGCTTAGGGTGGTGTTTTCAACCTCAAGCCACTTCAAGATGTGTGGACTTCAACTCCCAGAATTCTCCAGTCACACATTTTGAAGTGGTTGAAAAATACTGTTTTAGACAGGGGTGCAACTGGTTCGCTGCCTGGTTGCAGGGTGGGTGTGGCCATGGTGGGCGTGGCCTACCGGAACTTCCAGGAGGGCCATCTTTCGTCTTCCCCAGTGTCCAGAGGCTTCCCTCGGGCCTC